GGGAGTCACGTTTTAGAGCTTTTCAGGGCTGAAAACCTCCAGAATGTGATTCCCGCGCGTTTTTGGGGTAGACCCGGAGGGTGTTGCGGGCAGGATTTTTTTAGAAACTGACCCCAAAACACTAGGGTACCCTGAGTTTCTTAGCTAGAAGGCAACCGCAAATCGACCAATATTCCCGGGGGTTTCTTATACAGTGGATTTACTGTAATTGTTTCCTTGAAAGGTTTCGGACCAAATGTTTCCAAAGTTAGGGGCAGCCGACGTACATGAGTAACACCAGTGAGCAGTCAGAAGTCAGGTCAGCATCATGGCAACAATTCAGTTACCTTCATAGCCCCCTATGCGGACACAAGAAAGGAATGACAAGAAACAGCTAGCCGGCAAAAGTGCAAAACGTACGCCGCAGATTCTATCTGCCGAATCTCAGCTGCGTCGGACGTCCAGTCGCATGCGAGAGCGTAGAAGGTTGCTTATTTGGCAGGCGCCACGTGCTTCGCCATGATTCCGGTCTGAAAGGTTTGAAAGGTCTGACAGCTGAATTACTTGTGTAGGCTCACCGAACCGAACATAGGCCCTTGGCCCACGATTAGCTTCAGTCTGTCGCACATCATTGCTAGCTAAATCCCTCTTTAAATCTTGGCAAGGCAGAAAGCAGAAGGTTGAACACCTTCATTTCAGCTGCTAAACTGCTGGAGAAGCTGGTGAAATGTACGATTTCGTGTGGTTCATGAAGTGGAGTTGCTATGTTGCCATATCGACCTGGGTTAAAGAAACGTGTCTGAGTTTCTACCCGAAATTTCCAGCCAATTTGGATTTGGAAGAATGCTCGCAGCAACAATCAGATCTCAGTTTTTCGCATCTGTAGTTGATGCATTCGGCTCCGTTCATATCATTTCGACGTGCTCCCTTGTCCACAGATAGGGTTTGCTCCGGTCGAGGTAGTTCGGAATTTGCCAGTTGTCCTTGGCATATGCAGTGCCTGTGTAGATGGCCCAACAGCCGAGAGTGTCACAAAGACTATGTGCAGGGTGTCATCTCCACTGCACAGCGCATGGCGATCGACTCAGCTTCCGATTGCTCCACCTTGCGAGACATTGTGAGCCAGCTGTACTTGTGAATTTTCGTGCAGGTTAGTGCACCTACTGAGCTTGCATCCAGATCGGTGGCGGTGCGAACTGCGAAGGTGGCAGCCTCATGAAGCCTTTTGTTTTCTGCAACTATGGCTGTAAAGTCTACACCACTGTTGCACCACTGCTTTCAGTTTGACCTGCAGAGTTTGGGGTTCAGGCTTTGAGTTGCAGGGTTTGGGGGTTTGAGCTTGGGGTCTTTTTCTGAGCATCAGGTTTTCGGGCTTTGGCTTTGACTTTGAGCTTGAAGATTCCAGGCAACTGTCTATTTGTTTGACATCGAGTGAGCCCATAATCACGCTGACCCAGTCATTCCCGCTCGTCCCACGATTGCTCAACTACATATTCGCGTTATATACAGATGTAGATGGCATGTATATAAAATATGTAAGTTTCTGTTTGATTGTGTCGTCCTGTCTGTTCATCGCCATGGGTCAACGTCTTGGTCTGTTTCTGCTGGTCCTGCCTCTGCGTCCGCTCGTCTCGAATGTGGTCGCACATCTGTGTGTCCTGTTCCGTCTCAATCCGGAGACTACCTCCCTCTCCTCCTGCCCTGCCGTTTACTTCCGATTGCCTCGGCATACTGTCATGTTTGCACGGCTGTCATGCTTGCACAGCTTTGCCCCTCAATGCTTCCGTGCCTTTGTCTGCGTTGCTGGCTGCTGGTTGCAGTAGTCGCATTTTGTCAGCCGAAGGCCGGTACTCGTAGTTGCAGCTAGTTATATAGCAGAATGCTTTCACATGCTCGCCCGCTCTCCTGAGACCTCCGTCGCATCTGCACGCCATTCAGCGGCGGCTCCTCCAGGACCCCATCTGTAGTGAGCTGAACACTGGAACAGCCTCTGACACAAGAGGAATTCTCCAGTTTGCACATTGGCCGTCGCAGGACGAAGTCAGCACTCTCTGGTCGCTACGGCAAAGCCTGCAGTGAGACTCATAGCAAGGCAGGGATTCAAACTGGACAAGCTTCAGCCGAACACAGCCCAGGCCTTACGGCAAGGGTCTCCAGACAAAGGTCCTCGCCTTAAAAAGAGAAGCTGCGCTGCTGAGCTGCCGAAGCTGCTACTCCTATTGCGACAGATTGCTCTAGAATACTGCGCAGTGCGCAACAGCGTAAGAAAACGTAGTTCGCTGCTTGAAACAGGCGGAGGCGCTCCACGGGATGCAGGCAAACGAAGCCTTTGTGAGCAGTGCAACGGTCCCTCCTCAAATCAAGAAGACCACCCATCACGAACTCAGGATGAAGGTAATCGGGGCATCCTCCCATATTCCCCGCCGCAACTTCAAGAGCTCCGGCAGCTCCTGGCTTTTGAAAGCAAACTGAGCCCTCCGAGAAACTGCAATCTCACAGCAATCTAACGTCAGTCATGACGGGCACAACCATTGCTCTTCACCGACAGACTTAGAGTCTTAAATGCCATCTTCGGGAATGACCGGTAATGACATGCAATCATATGTGATGAGATGGAATGATCGTGGTCGTAACCTGCAGTGTTTGCATCGGATCCTAGGGCAACCCTGAGACTTTCCATGGACAGGTGCCGTGGATGCGACTCCAAGAGCTGTCAGTGGGGCCCGAGAAAGTCCGCAGCAACATGAGCCCGTGAGTAGCGCATAGCAGCATGGCAGGGCAACCAATGTTCACAGGTGTGCCTTTTTGTGTTGCGTTGTGCTTGTCCGGTCTGCCAAGGTCATAAGCATCATCACCATCATCCAGCTGCAGCAGCTGCTGCAAAACCGACAAATGATGACAGTGCTCCGACCTGCAGTTGGTATTCGGCACATGCAGAGTTGCTTTGCAGTCCTGCTTCCAGTGGTGAATATCGGTCCTATGCCACTGCCATTCTTGCATTGTGGCCCCTTCTCGGGCTGTCTTGAATTCGAGCATATCCGAGCCCCGTCGTCCAATCGCACCGAGAGCCCAGACTCGTGCCGACCAGTTGGTCTATTCGCTGTCAGGCATCTTAGAAATTAGTAGGCATCATGGCTTGACTTCGGGGATGCAATTGACTATATTAGATGATGGTAGGTCCTGGTAGGTGAATTGAATATCTTTTAACTTGGTGATTTGAGCCTTGACATAGGCTGTGAGCATGAGATGAGGTGGGGATGATTCTGATGGAGAGGAGCTCCGTGGCCCACACAGGCGGCAGCTGAGCGAGAAGCAGTGGCTGTCTCAGTCAAGCCGGTGCCGGCAGCAATCCCGTACGGTCTATGGTTTTTTGCTGGAAAGCTGCCGATTGTCTGGAACCCTGATTCCTCTCCGCGCTGCTTTGTTTTTCATGTTTGCTTCCATTACGTTTTCATAATTCAGGCAGTGGCCGCGGCCCCGTTCTTCCAACAACAAACCAAAGCTACTAGCTTTCCCCCGCGACGCACTCTCTGTCCAGGCTCGCAGACTGCAGTGAAACCTCTTCCCGAGTCTATGCCAATTCAAGCGCTAGCCTTTAGTGTTCTGGCACAGAATCGAGGAACTAACCGGAAAAATCGTAGTACCAGGCATAGAATGTAAGGACCGCAGTCGTTGGAGCATTGGCTGCAAGCAGGTGAGCGTGAGCTGTTCTTTTTCAGGTATGAAGCATTGGTTCGATGCGCCCAGCAAGTTGTCGCTCTCAGCGGGGTGGCATCCCCAATGGCTGTGGGAATCAATGGGATGTTCGTGTGAGGAGTCTTGTGAAGGCTGATGTGTGATGGCTGTGCCGCTTGTTCGAGGCGGGTAACGGCGGCTTACTGACGGCTCCGGCAAGGTGAAGGTAAAAGCTTGGCACTTGGAATTCAGAGAAGCTGTTGACGAAGTCTCTTTTGAAAGGGTGTATGTTGCCCGGCTTGGACTCGAGGTCAGCTGTACTGCTGACTTCTGCAATGTACATGCTAGCAAGCAATTCGATTAGGATCAGATGCGTCTCAAGCATACATGATGTGCACATAGCCTCGCCTTACATGTTCTGTTACTGCGCCGGCGGGCTGCAAGCAAAGTTCTTTGGGCCGTTGGCAGCAAGTTAATGTTCTGACAGCCTTTGAGCTGATGATATCTTCCAGGAAGTTCGCTTGTTGTCTCTCGGATTGCTTAATGAAGGCTGCGGCTCGGACATTCTGATTCGATGCATGTTTCACCACAGCACGCGACGACCGTTTATGAGGATACGATAGAAGAGCATGGCTTTACTTGTAACCTCCATCCCTACTCGCGTAGCGTTGCAGGTTGCGGCACATCAGGTGAAGTCCAAACCTCCTGACTCATGTCTTGGGATCAAGCTGTAGAGTGGATTCCGCGGGTGATTCGCAGGCCGCACACTGTCCTTTGGCATTGCGAACTCAGGAAGTAAGCGATCTTGCTTTCTTACCACACCTCAATGTGGGAGGAATGGCACATGGAGCGGGCCAATCACTGTGCTCGCTAGTGGCGAGACACCTAGCGGCATGCATGTATTGGAAGCATGGCGCAGCAAGATGTGAGCTGCTGACAAGCTTCTCATCTTGACCACTCCTCCTGGACATGGGTGGACAGGGTGCCTGCTTAGAGTATCACATATTCTGATTTAGCCATATATGTCGGTCAGCCAATTCGTGCTATCCCATCCAACCTTCCTGAAGGACATCTTTCGTAGTTTTCGTCAAGACAGCTATATGTCGCAATTCTTGCAAACATGCCTGACTTCGAGAAGATTTGTTTCTCCAATGCCTGTGTGGTGCCTTCGCTGTCGCGTATACCTTTGTTAAGACTGTCCCTTCTCTGGGTCTCCCTTGTTTGTGCTGCAGCCTCACAGAGGTCAAGCGACGCCATGCCTTGAACCCGGAACATGGCTGTTGGTAGGTTGATTTGCTACCAGTCCTGCAAGTTTCTCGAGTACATTGTTTGAGGCTTGGGCTTGGATGCCAGCGGTCTTTCTACTGGGACTGAAGCTCAGCTTACGACATGCTTAAAAAAGAGCGTGACTTGGACATGGTCTTTGCCTCGGCGCAGGCTTGCCGCTTGCGCTGGTATCAGCGGCAAGCATGAGCTGCGTGCCTCGAAGCAGCGCAGCTTCCTCACGCAGCTTGCAGGGGGACCTCTACGCGGGAGTGGCAAGGCCGGAGCCCTCGTCTCGAGCCTCGCCTCGAGCCTCGCCTCGAGCCTCGCCTCGAGCCTCGCCTCGAGCCTCGCCTCACCGTGTCAGCAACACGTTGCAAGCGTGTGCCAGGACTTCAAGGCAAGATTGGATGGCCACATCCCGCATCTTCAGACAAGCACGGGCCGTCGGAGGAGACGTCCTGCCGTGCTGCCATAAACTTGTTGTAGCTGCTACGTTCCGTCTGCAGTTGGCCAAGCAGAACCTGGTGTAGCAATACAGGATGGCCTTTGATCTACGCTTTTAGTTATGCCAGAGTCAGAGTTTGATGCAGTCCTTGAGACTTGCGACAGCTCGTTGTACGTGGTTGAAGGGTTGAACGAGGACCTAAGAAGAGAAAGAAAGACACAAAGAAACAAGTACAAGTTCAGAAGGCGGCTTGACACACTTGATCTTGCACTCCGAAGTATGGGTAGTCAGTGCAGCCAGTTGGATGACCGACAGCCTTGATCGGTTTTCACTGAGGAAAGAAAGAAGCGGGAGTGAAGCTGAGCTTGCGTTGCATCCATGACGGCGTGCTGGATACAGAGGCTAGACTTTATTGGGTTCGTCCAAGCGAGGACAATGTCATAGAGCTCGACGGCAAAGTCATGGTCCATTCGCGAAATCTCTTCAAGGCCTGGAGTGCTGAGTCGTTTTTTTTTTCTCACGTTGTCGGCGAATTGCTGGACAGGTGCTTCTAAGCAACGGAGCAGAGGTGCGACCTGCCGCAAAACCTGCACATACTCTAACATGTCGTAATCTAGTCAATCTAGTCATAGCCTTCGATGGGCCGGCACAGCCACAGAAGGGAACCAGGGAGCTTGCTGGGCTGTGATTGTTGCATGTCTACCAGGGCACTGACTCTACATACTCAGTGCTTGCAGGTGCAGTGCACGCTTGCCGGAAAGCTCCGCATGAACAACATCAAGGCAGACATCAGCAAGCAACTCGCCACTTTGAGTTCTGGCCGTTCATAGAACAGAATGCAGCGTACATGGGCCGGCAAGACAGGTCATGGAAGGAGATGCCGTGACCGTCGAGATGTCACCTTTCGATTTGACGAAAGGTCGTATCGTCTTTCGCAGCCGGACAGCAACTGGGCACCTTTTCTTAGTTTGTCCCCCTTCCAGCACGCGGCGCTGCACAAGCCTTTTGAAAGGGCGTTAGTGGGATCTTCACTACAGAAGAGAATTCAAGAGCTGTTGCCAGCAGACTGACACAAGCCACAAGCATCCCACAGTACGCGCGTAATAGTACAGTCATCAGAGCCCCCACCACCGCCACCAAGGCACCAAGGCTTCTCTAAAACTCGAGCTTCTGCTTCATCGCCCGACTTGCCTGCTCAGCCTGTCCAGGTACAATCAAGATGCCCGGAGAAGAAGACGATGACACCGCGTAGTCTCTTCATTGGCGAAAACAGAAGTTGTCTCTGCAGAAGTTCGGGTTAGGGGTGGCTGTGTTTCGCAACATACTTCAATATCTATTCCAGCAGCAGTAGTGTAGTAGTCGTCGTAGTTGTAGTTGTAGTTGTAGTTGTAGTTGTAGTAGTAGTAGTAGTAGTAGTAGTAGTAGTAGTAGTAGTAGTAGTAGTAGTAGTAGTAGTAGTAGTAGTAGTAGTAGTAGTAGTAGTAGTAGTAGTAGTAGTAGTAGTAGTCGTGTAGTAGTAGTAGTAGTAGTAGTAGTAGTAGTAGTAGTAGTAGTAGTAGTAGTAGTAGTAGTAGTAGTAGTAGTAGTAGTAGGAGTAGTAGGAGTAGTAGGAGTAGTAGGAGTAGTAGGAGTAGTAGGAGTAGTAGGAGTAGTAGGAGCAGCAGCAGCAGCAGCAGCGGCTGAAGCAGCAGGAGAAGGATGAGGATGAGGAGGATGAGGAGGAGGAGGAGTAGTAGCAGTAGGTGGTGGCGGTGCTCGCCGTCGTTATTAACATAGTGAACAACAACAGCCACAATGCTGGACAATGTGTCATCAACTTGGATTGCCGGGCTCGGCTGACAGCTAGCACAACGTGGCTCGAATGCGTGCCGAGCTTTGCGTCCTTTGCGTCCGCACTTGCAAGGCGGCAGGACTCAGCGCTCGGTGAGTTTGATTGTGCAAGCTGACAGCTGCTCAGGGAAGCATAGTGCGCTGATAGTGCGCACCTGTCCTTGCACACGTTGAGGCTGTAATTGGTACAATTTGCTGTGAGGACATCATGCCGCGTGTGTCGTGGTTGCGCTTGTTGCTGGTGGTCGCGGTGGTCGTACCTTCAGCAAGTGCAGAGGAGGTGCCATGTCCCAATGTGAATGTCACTTGTGCACGAGTCCATTAGCCTTGAAACATCCTTTAGTTGATTGATCGGTTGCTGTGCACTGGTGGAGGTCCTTGAGATTCCTGGAGTCGCAGTGACCTTCCACCCTCGGCCACGAGAGTTCCAGAAGGCCTTTCCTGACCCAGACAAGTTTCAGAAGAAGGGTGGATCACGGGGATCCCGGGGATCACGGCGGCTCGAGGAAGAGACGGATGACAAGGTCCAGCATCTCGAGGCAGATGATGGCGGCCTACACTTCGATCTTGACTTCGCAGGCGCCGAGACGGAGGTCCGCGTGATTGACTTGGACGAGACACCCCAGCTCGACGGGCTGGCATGTTCCAGCAGCCATCATATGTATTTACATTGGGATTCGACAGGCTTTGTAATAATCCACAAGGGCGATGTTCTTGTTGGTGGCATGGAGTGGCAATGCCGGCTTGACCCTTACCAAGGGCAAGGCCCCGAGGAGAGCGAATCTTTTTTGGTGGAGGTGCTAAGCGTGGATTCGAAGCCCGATGCTGCTGCGAGGGTCACCAAGCTTCGTGTTCGAGAGACCTCCGTGCCGCACGACTTCCCAATTATGCTGTCGGGTGATGGGCGAGGGGGACCGGGAAAACACATTCCACTTGTTGTAGCAGCGGGACTGCGCTAAGGTTCCACGTTTTTCCGCAGATGGATCTCAACTTCACCTGGTTCCCATCGCCAGGCGAATGCGTTTAGCCCCACGTTGCATGATGTAGCGAAAAGTTGACCATCTGAAAGCAGGATGCTAGAAAGTATGCTGCGCTGTCATCCGGCTCATATTTGTCAGGTGCGGAAGGCCGGTTGCTGAGTGCTTCCCCGCAATTTTCATTGAGCCTTGGTTGTGCTACCGTCGGTTTAGCTGGGCTTGTCTTGCAAAGGTTCGGGTTGTTCTGTTGTCTCTGGTCACCCTTCGCACGTACTCCGGCAACAGTACGGGCAGATCTTGTCTTCTTGACTGAAATCCTGGGTACATTTCTAGGAGTTGAGGCGTGTTTGTGGGCTTTCTTCAGCTCCAGGAACTATGATTCCATCACCGGGCGGGCAAAGAAGGCGTTTGACTTCGGCCCCTTCCAGTGTTCGGACTGCTGGGCCGACTTGGAGACTTGAAATCACTTGAAATCACTTGAAATCACTTGAAATCACTTGAAGTCACTTGAAGTCACTTGAAGTCACTTGAAACTGAAATCAGAAGATTGTCCTACTGTAGAAGCTGAGGAGGCATGTACCTCAGTTTTGATGCGGCATCCGTGTTGAGAAGTAAGGACATTACGCCCACGTTCTCTCTTGCTACGAATGGCAAAGGGCAGCCGGTCAAAGTGGCGATGGAGGTGGCAGTTGAGCTGCGGGCACGCGCCAAGGTGGCTTCTTGCTTTCGTTCCTTAGGTTCCTTTTGGGGTGGGTGCCCAAACACAGCAAAGACGATTAGACTGGAGCATGCAAAGGGTACACAATCACAAAAGATCAGAGTGTATTTCGGCATACTCCGGTAAAGCAAGGGTCCTCTTGAGCAGGTCGAAGCGGGCAGAGATGGGCAGACCTTGCTTGACTGGTGGAGGCCCGAAAGCCTGGAGTGGAGCATCACTTCGATGAATTTGCTCGACAAGCTGGCCAAAAGTATTCCTCTCAAGGGATGGGCTGCTGGCATGCTCAACAAACTCACCTTGAAGCTGAGCCTGCACCCCACCGTGGCCCTGGAATTCTTGGTTGAGATCGAGCAACTTGTAATGGAGGGCGCCTTTCAGATGAACTTCGGCGAGAAGATAGTCTATGAGGTGAAATGGACTGCTGCCGATGGGTTCAGCCGTCGTGTCAAAGACCGGACAGATACTCTGCTTCCTGACGTGCAGATGCCGCAGCGCATTGACATTCCACTGCTTTTTGGGGTCAGCCCCTGCTTCGGTCTCCTGACGGCTGGATAAGGGACGGGTAGCCATGGTAACGAATCTTGTTTCTGTCTCGTGCACGTGTTGCATCGCAGTATAGCAAAGTCCGGAGAACAGTAGCAGAGGTCTGGAGCTGACCATGTGGAGCTCTAGAAAGAAGATAACCTCCATCGAGGGCTGTCCAGAGTTTCGCCTTGGGGTCACGCTTGTGAACGTCTTCTCGCAGTCCCCGCAGTCCCCGGCTTTCTTTGCTCCTCAGGATGATCCTGACAGAATGCTGTGTGTGCGGAATATGCAGTTCGAGACAAATGGGAATGCGGACATGACCAGGGACGAGCCTTACCTAAACGTCTGCATCGCAGGGAAATGTCAAAAGACCAGCAGCGACGAGCACTTCGGGAATGCTGTGTGCCCTTGTGGAGACGAGAAATGTGGAAGAGGCTTTCGAACCTACCAATGGTGCTACGTCCCACGGAGCTGCCCTGTGGCCGATTACTACGACTGGGGTGAGTATCTCAGCAGAGCAATCAGGTACTCTTGCACATTTTCGGTAGTTGCCTGCAGCCACAGTCTTTGCCATTAGGAACTTGCACATGTCAGGTATTATTGGGCCAGTTGCGTCTACCCTGCGACATACCGGGAGGAGATATGCTTCGATGTAAGCGGCAAGTGGCTCGAGACGCAGGGCCTCCTCTTCAGTGCCTATGAGGCTGACTGGTACTTCGATGATCCTTACGTCGCCCCCTTAGAGGTGCCAGTGGATGATCTGGTGAACTATCGTTCGCGGACATACCGGAGGCTGGAGATGGAACCGCTCCTGGGAACCCAAGCCTACCTGACATTCACGGTAAGCGTGGAGCGCATGCGGCGGCTCAGCAAGGGCAACAGCCAAGGCGACAGCTTTAGTCTCGTGATGGATGAGGCGAGTCCTCGCAGGACCTCCACCGACTGCAATGCGGGCAAGGTGGAGGTGGCACTGGGAGTGCATGGCTATTTCGGGGGCCTTTTCATCCCTTTCGACTGGAGGGGCAAGAGCAAGGGCCTCAAGCTGGTCAACGAAAGCGATTTCGAAAGCCGCGTCTTCTATGGCCCGGACACAATCTATTGCCGCACCACCACGACCACAACTCCAGATTCAGAGTCAGCTCCTCCAGCACTTCTGGTCACGACCACAACCACGAGCCGCGGCAGGGTGACACAACAGGGCTGTCAGTGTCGCGGCCTCAGGAACCATGCCGGAGACTTGCGCTATGCGGCTTCATGTGGAAGCAGTGCTATGGTAAATAAGGTCGAACCAGTTGGACGCTGTCAGGATACTCGGACTCACCGTGCACAACTTCTTGCTGCAATCCGAATGGTTTCGAGGGTGAGTGGTGCTTCGTGGAGGACGAAACGTGTCAGTCGTCCAACTGGGGCTATTGTGCCCCGGTCACAGAGCAGGGATGCGCGTGCCAGCAATCGTGGACATGGTCGGGAGAAATTTGCTCCACATACTGTTGTGACTACGGTGAGTCGCGGTCCTGGTGCAAGGTGGAGAGTTGGACTTGCCAGTTCCATTATTGGGGCTACTGCAGCACAGCTGCAACATCAAGCACGTCCGTCACAACGTCCACGACCACGTCGACTACCACCACAGCACTCACAACCTCGACTGTAGCCGTTGGGAGAGTGACGACGGAGGGCTGCCAATGCCCGCAGCCAAGTTGTGAGGTTTTTCTGCCTATTCTCTTCTGAAATGTGCCATGTACTGCCTGCAGTTCTCCGCAGAAGTTTCAGCTGTGGCACCACTGGATCACATTGCAAGCAAGACGCTACATCGCGAAAGCTAGCCCGTGGGAGCTAGTCGAGTTTCCTACTGGGGAGGGTGCTCAGCTGGGGTGCGTGCAAATTGGGGCTAGACCCCACCGGGATTCGGTGGCAAACTCCATGTTTTCAAAGTCCCCAAGGCGCCTTGTCTGTCTTCATGGAGATTCGGGGCGCTTAGGCTAAGCGCCGCTCTGGCTCAGGATCGAAAATCTGCCTTACAATACCTCTCTAAGGACAGCGCCGAATCCGTGTTACTACATCTCCAAGCGCAGCTTCGAAACCATGTGTGGGTGAGCTGAATGCCAAAAAAGTAGCAACCCACAAGGGCTGTAAGCATGGCTTGCGCGGGTGAATTACCGTGACGTGCTTTTGAACAACTCTGTTTGCACGTATAGCTCACGGGATATGTTCAACATGTTACAACACTGATGCACGAACGGAGCTGCAGCCAGAAACTATGCCCCCACTTCACAGCTCAATGTCGGTGCGGCTGCGTGGAATTGAACTTTCTTCTTGTGCATTAGACGCACAAATACGCGAAAGAAATCATCCCCCACGGCAGCGTCGAAGCCGCGCGGGTGAGCTTAATGCTCAAGGGATTCTCTGCAGATACTCCAAGGTTGGGCGCTTCCGGGATTCTTTCGGGATTTGGTTGCGCTGAAGGGGCTTCTCTGGGGCAACCTAGGGGGTATCTGGGGCTGGGCGCTGCAGGGCTTTCTTGGTGATGCTCTGGGGTTGGGCATTGCAGGGTTTTGTGGGATGCTCTTATGCCTGGGCTGGGGATACTGGGGTTGGGCGCTCCAGAAACTCTCTGAAAAAAACACTCGGGGCTGGGCTCTCCAGGATTCTACGGGGATAGTCTGTCCAGGGATTGTATGGGGTTAGCACTCGACGGATGTTTTGGGGCAACACTGGGTTGCCTAGGGGCTCTCTGGGGGATGCTCTGTCGAGCAACTGCACTAGCTTTCGTTCCTGCCGTCCCCCACAAGTCGCTTGAGCTGAAAACGGCATTTGTTTGGTTTATTCTTTTGCTAAGGTCGAACCAGTTGGACGCTGTCAGGATACTCGGACTCACCGTGCACAACTTCTTGCTGCAATCCGAATGGTTTCGAGAGTGAGTGGTGCTTCGTGGAGGACGAAACGTGTCAGTCGTCCAACTGGGGCTATTGTGCCCCGGTCACAGAGCAGGGATGCGCATGCCAGCAATCGTGGACATGGTCGGGAGAAATTTGCTCCACATACTGTTGTGACTACGGTGAGTCGCGGTCCTGGTGCAAGGTGGAGAGTTGGACTTGCCAGTTCCATGATTGGGGCTACTGCAGCGCAGCTGCAACATCAAGCACGTCCGTCACAACGTCCACGACCACGCCGACTACCACCACAGCACTCACAACCTCGACTGTATACATAGCCCTTGGGAGAGTGACGAGGGAGGGCTGCCAATGCCCGCAGCCAAGTCATGAGGTTTTTCTGCCTATTCTCTTCTGAAATGTGCCATGTACTGCCTGCTCTGCTCCGCAGAAGTTTCAGCTGTGGCACCACTAGAGTCACTAGATGAAAAAATGGTATGTTGCAAGCAATACGCTACATCGCTCGAGCTGAAAACGGCATTTGTTTGGTTTATTCTTTTGCTAAGGTCGAACCAGTTGGACTTTGTCAGGGTACTCGGACTCACCGTGCACAACTTCATGCTGCAATCCGAACGGTTTCGATGCGGACTGGTGTTTTGTGGAGGACGAAACGTGCCAGTCATCCAACTGGGGCTATTGTGCTCCGGTCACGGAGCAGGGATGTGAATGCCAGCAATCGTGGTCATTTGCTGGCTCCACTTGCTCGTCATACTGCTGCAATCCGGACAACGATGTTCGAGGGGATTGGTGCTACGTGATCCAGGAAGCCTGCCAGGGAACTTTCTACGGATACTGCCGCACAACATCTACCACGACATCTGCCACCTTGGAAACCACCATAGCCACCGCTGGCCGGTTGACAAGGGAAGGGTGCCGCTGCCCTGGGCCAAGCTGTCACAGTCGCAATCGCAAGTCGCAGCTTCCATGCATGCAGCACGCAATCGCTTGGTGCCAAGGTCGGACCACTTGGACCCTGTCAGGATACTCGGACTCACCGTGCACAGCTTCATGCTGCAATCCGAATGGCTTTGAGAGTGAGTGGTGCTTCGTAGAGGATGAGACGTGCCAGCAGTCCAACTGGGGCTTCTGCACACCAGTTACAAAGCAGGGTTGCGAGTGCCAGCAGTCTTGGACGCACGGTGGTGTCATTTGCTCATCATTTTGCTGCAACCCTGACGACGACGTTGGGGACTGGTGTTATGTGGTTCAGGAGGCCTGCGAGGGTTCATTTTGGGGCTACTGCAACGTGACACGATCGACAACACTTGGCACGACCAGCACTACGACTGCTTCAGGGAGGATCACACTTGAGCGCTGTGCATGTCGGTGGCTCAGTGGCGCAGTTGCTGTTCAAGCCGTTCGTGCAGCATGGACGACTAGATTGATTAGAGAGACTAGTGACTAGAACAGCCTACGTTCATCAGCAATGAGTTCAGTCGCGGGTTAGCTTGTCATGCTGCTCTAGGTCGGACCAGTTGGACTCTGTCAGGGTACTCGGACTCACCGTGCACAACTTCATGCTGCAATCCGAACGGTTTCGATGCGGACTGGTGTTTTGTGGAGGACGAAACGTGCCAGTCATCCAACTGGGGCTATTGTGCTCCGGTCACGGAGCAGGGATGTGAATGCCAGCAGTCGTGGTCGCATGGTGGCTCCACTTGCTCGTCATACTGCTGCAATCCGGACAATGACGTTGCGAACTGGTGTTACGTGGCGCTTGAGAATTGCCAGGGAGCCTCCTGGGGATACTGCAGATCTTCCATGGTTGCCACCAACGACCCAGTCGAGCTCTGTTAGGCTGACAACTAGCAGCTGTGCGTGCTTGCGATCCTGGACATATGCTGAATATGAGCCATGCTTTGATTACTGCTGCAATCCCGATGGCGATGCTTCCGAGTGGTGCTTTGTGGTCAATGCAAGCTGCCAAGGCTCCACCTGGGGTTATTGTGGAGGCGAAGACCTAACTACAGAGACCACAACATCTGGGACAGGAGTTCTGCCTTCCACTCTGGGGGGCTGCTCTTGCCTGCAGTACTGGTCACTGGCCGGACTTGATCCGTGTGCTACGTACTGCTGCAACCCGGACGGTGACACGGGTCTGTGGTGCTTTGTTGCTGACGTCACCTGCGAGGGTGCCAATTGGGGTTATTGTTCGAGCAACGCAACTATCTCGCATACTCCTACCAGTCCTACCACCTCTTTGACATCGGGGCAGCGATTCACCGTGGAGGGTTGCCATTGTCAAGACTCTTGGGCCCTGCAAGGCTATGCTCCTTGCTCAGGGTCTTGCTGCAATCCCAACAACGACACGGGCGACTGGTGTTTAGTTTGGGATCCAAACTGTCAAGGGTCATCATGGGGCTACTGCATAGATGGAAGTGTGACCACAACTGGTGGCTCACTGGCCCCGAGGAGCACCACGGAAGGATGTGCCTGCAAGCAGTTCTGGTCTTGGGCAAACCATGATCCATGCTTGACGCATTGCTGCAATCCTGATGGCGATGTGGCCAACTGGTGCATTGTTGTTGACGAAGCTTGCCAAGGTACAAGCTGGGGATACTGTGCAGCTGCAACAACTTCGCATGAAGGCAACACGACTTCAGCGTATGTTGCTGCAGGCAGAGCCACTACCACCGGATGTGCGTGCAAGACCGATTGGTTTTGGCAAGGACAACACTGCATGCAGTCATGCTGCAAGGTTGGTGGCGACGTGGCAGACTGGTGCTTTGTGGTTGACAGTCTATGCCAGGGTGGCAGCTGGGGATACTGCTCGGAGGAGTTGCTGGGAGCTTCTGCCGTCACAACTACAACTGCGGTGGCAGTTTCGACAGCAACGGCGACAGTGACTGCGATGCTTACAGGCACACAAACGACTTCGTCCAGCGTCACCTGGACAGCCACGTCACTCACCGCAACGACTTCGTCTAGTGCCACCTGGTCAGCAACGTCAGCGACTGCAACTGCAACGACTCACATCTCCACCGGAACATCTATCCTAACGTTGAGTGCAACTACCTCTGCAACCACCACCAGCTTCACCGCAACGTCTATCCTCACCTCTGCAACGACCAGCAGCTTCACCGGAACATCGTTCCTCACGTCGAGCTCTGCAACGACCAGCAGCTCCGCCAGAACATCTATCCTCTCGTCGAGCGCAACAAGCTCTGCAACGTCGAGTGCAACTAGCACTAGCTCAGCCATGTGGACATCGAGCACGACAAGCAGCGCCACCCCAACCAAGCTCGACAACACAAGCTCCACTACCCCAGCATCCTCCTCGAGCGAGGGCAGCAGCCCGTCCGTAACAGTGGACCTGCAGCTTCCTTCAACCACTATCAGTTCCGTATTCAGCATCACAGGTTCAATGACACTTTCACTCTCAGATTGCGGCGGCTTCATCAGCGAGCCTGGCAGTCAAGCAGCCGTGGAGGAAGCCCTGGCGACGCTATCGGGCACTTCTGCACCAGCCGTCCCTGCCTCGGAAGTGTTACTTTGACCAGTGGATGGTGATCTTTCACCATCCTTCATCTTTTACCCTTGCTCTGAGGTGAGCGCTGTGTTGAGCTGCTCGCGTCGCCTGAAGCTCCAAGAACGCCGGTTGCAAGAAATCGTCAGCGTGGCCTATAGCATCGGCTTGGGAAGCTTGGAGGAAGCCGCCAAGCCACTGGCTGCCTTGGGAAGCCTCAATGCAGGGACCATGACCGCAGTGCTTCAAAGCTCTCTGGCCGCGGCCGACATCACGGTCCAAGTTGCTGTGATCAGTGCCACCCTGAGGTTCTGCAGATATCCGCAGTGTACCGCAGCGCTCGCAGTTGCTCCAGTACATAGGTTCCTACCTGCTGTTTGCATGCTGTCGGCTATAGATCCTACAATGATTCATGTTGAGCAGTCTGCGATTCTGCTCCCACATGTATGTAGCGACTGTCTGACTTAAATGGTGCATTGTGGTAAAGCAGGCGATGGTATATGGTTGAATACAGGAGGCTAACATAAACTCCAGCCACCAACTCCAGCCACCAACTCCAGCCCACCATGCTTTCCAGTACAGCGTACGAAAATGTACTAGAGGTGTGACTGCGCCCCAGATGGAAGTGCCGGAGACGAGCGGGTCGACGACGGAGAGCGTCCAGGGCCTTCGAACCTCCGACTCTTCCAAGGTGATGGGCTTGTGAACATGAGGGGTCTTTTGTTTGTCCGATTGGCACAAGGGCATGGAATCTTGCTTGAGAGAACCCTTCGGTGATGGGTCTACGGTTTAGTTCAGTGTGTAACGTCTAGAGTCTAGAGTCTGAGTGCGCAGCTGTGCAGTTTCGAGCTGAAACCACCGGTCCTCGTTACCGTCTTGGGGGGTTTGGGGTTCAAGTGAAATGTGGCTTGCATTGTTGGCAAGTCCCAGGTCATGCGCTTGCCTGGCATGTGGACACTGCTCATCGCCATGATCAGTGCTCATTGAATGATGGGCTTCTCTGAGTCTTGAGGACGGTCCGGTTTCACATGTTTGTTACTGCCAACTAAGCCAAACATACCTGGCAAACTCCAATTGAGTAGGCATGTGGACGCGGGTACTCGCCAAAGAGCGCTTTAAGAGGCTCGAGGCGACCACTTCCCCTCTTTTCACAGACGTTGAGACTGACTGCAATCGAAAAATGGGGCACGCTCGAAGCCAACGCCACCTAATACCTGAACGAAGCGGGTTAGTATAACGACAATTCTCATATTGACCGATTT